TGAACATAAAAGTCAGTTTATCAGAGTTAATCCTTTTTGTATACACTTGTCTTACCAGAACAATTTTCTTTCATTTGGTCAAGACAAAGGAATTCAGGAGTTTCTGTAAACTAACCCTCCCCTCTCTTTGTTGCATTTTGTTGACATATTGGCAACATTCCTTCCAGTTTAAATTGGATTAAGCACATAGGAATTTAGTGAGTTGAAAATCAGACAGGATTCCAGGTACCTTTCTGCTATTGTTAAATACAAAAGGTCTAATAAAGAATAAAACTAAATAAAACCAGAACTAGTCTCCCGAAAGTAATGAAATGTGCTCGCTGCATTTACTCAGGCAGTCCATGGGGGGACGAGAAGAATGACAGCTGTTTTTCCAGGCTTTCAGGGGGAAGTCAGGCTGAAGCCAACTCTGACACATTCTTTACTTCTCAGGGCAATGTCAGGACGCTGCGAGTGGAAAATCTGAAAATACTGAATCCTCTGACTTCTGCTCGTCTGAATCGAGTTACCTTCTGTTTCTGTGGGTTTTGGTAGAAGCGCTGTCCCGTCAAAGAGCTGAAATGGAAGCATAATGAGATGGAATGCCTGATGAATTTTTAATGCGATCTCAAAACTAATGGAGAAACCAAAGCAGTACATTTGGCCATCTTTTGAGAAGAAAGAGAAAATAATAATTACTTGAGATAGAAAGACGACTAATCAGAATGCTAATTGATATACATCTTTTTTTTACATCTAACGTGATCCTCTGAATGTATTTGTTAATTCTAATCACATTTATCTCAACCTAACGCTTTTCATGAGGAACTAAGAGCACAAAATGGCATGCGAAAATAAGAATGAATGGTAAAAAAGTCAAACTGCTGGAGGAAGGTGAGTGTAAGAAGACTACTATGTTCCTGCATGCAGTCATCCGAGTTATCAGATGTGCAAATTGTTTTAACTCTCTTTTCTGATTTGCTTCATACACCAGAGGGATAATGTCATTAATCTATTGTTTTTCTTGGCAGAAATTATCCAATAACTTCAGCACATATAACAAAGCAACTATTCCAAATTCTCATACAAATTAGATTCTGCAATAAGGGAGTGCACTCATCTTCAAAATGATCAGAAATGATATGAGTTAAACTGTTCTTTGAAAAAATCCAGTGTTACTAAGCAATACCTCACTTTTCAGCTTTAAATGACAAACGAGCTGCTTGCCTTTGGTTTTCAGCAGTGCCAAATAGTGAGATTAATAAGACACTGTTCCTTTAGTCAGGTTGGTATGCAGGAACTTCAGCTCGTTATTTCACTTCTAGCAGTACTTGATATTCTCAGTTTTAATACTGCAAGACATTTTAACACCAGCCAATAGGCCAGTAAAGAATTAGATGAGACACCAGGAATCTTTTGAACCTAAATACAACATCCAAATCCCAAACTAATTAGCAGTCCCTAATTATGGAGCTGCTTATATTTTTTTTTACGAGTCAAAATTGCTTTTAAATTATCCTTGCTGAGACCATGCTAAAAAAGTCATTCCACCTTTGTGTACAGAAACCCAGAAAGGATGGGCAACTTTAATGAAGTATTGGGACAACATATAAAGCATTTTTTTTAAAGCCACAAAACCAAATCCAAATAAACAACTACATGTTCTGCAGACAAAATGGGTGATTGGTGCATTACAGCTTGTTACACAGGCTAACATTCTGCATGATAACGGGTGTCCTCAGAAATGCTTCGGTTGTTTGGCTTGTTGAATGTGCAGCACATTCACAACACCTATTTGTAGGGTTCCAAGTTTCCTTCCATTACTCACACCAAAAGCGATGAATTTTCAGCTTCTGGTCGATCACACTGGCAAACTTGTAAGCTGCACCTCTGAAGCTGGACCTGGGCTTCTCATAACCTCCCACTCTGATGATATTAAAAACGTTCTTCATATCAGCTGTTACATGTCTACAAATGACACTTGCTCCAGAGGCTTTTGTTGACACAAATGCTCATGGTCATTTTAACGCTATTGTAGCATAAGGATTTTAGTCTGGACAGCAATAAGCACTGAGAAAATCATGACTTCAGTGGTTGAGACCATTTGTGCTGTGTCAACTCCTGCAAATTTTCTAGAAATACATTTAAGAACTAGTTACTGTAGAAAAGAAGACCTTTCCACACTGCTATTGCCAATAATGTCATCACTGGATTTACAACAGGATTTCTTTGAAACTATAATTACATTTTTGTCACACTGCAGCTGTGTTCATAACTGACTTTTCTGAACCAGTTTCCACAGTCAGTCCCTGTTTCTGGAGGCTGTAACTGGTCAGTAAAACTCCATTCTTAAACTGATGATGAGAGCATGGTTCTTAGTGCTATGAGCAAAGAGAAAAGGAAATCTGCTGGGATCAGGCTTTTTCAATTTCTGCCTCAGCTGCTGGTGTGGTGCGGAAGGTTACGTGTCCATTAGCCAACTTCAGTTACTGAATAAATTGAGGCCCTCCCTTCCCTCCTTTCCTCCTTCCCTCCCTCTTTCTTTTCTTCCCTCTTTCCTCCCTCCCTTCCTTCCCTTTCCTTCCTTCCCCTTCTTTCATCCCTCCCTCCCTTCTTCCCTCCCTCCCAAGAAAAAGGCATTTCAGACACAAGCTGCTTTCTCTTAATTATTGACTTTGAAAGTAGCCTTAGGCAATTACTCTCTGGGTTAAGTGTCTCAAGTTAGGAAAGATGAACCTTGGCCACGGAGTACACAAAGCTGCTATAATGTGAGTGCCAGAATGATTGGAAATCATCCTCACAGTAGGTAGCAATGGTTGATAGATTAGATTAGACAACATTCTTCAGGGTGCCTCTTCCACATCTTGGATTTAATCATCCACGGTAATTTCACTGCTACCCTGTTTTTAAGAGCATGTTCCTTAAATCTGCAGGTAAAAGCAAGGAATGACAGGGCTGTTATTAAAATGATTGTGACCAGCCCCACTGATGATTTGTCCAGTGAAGGCCGAGACAAACGACTGCACTGTGGAAGGACCATCACACTGGCAGACTGGGCAACAGTTATGCAGCAGCTGATCTGGGGGTGCAATGGATAGCAAACAAGAGCCTGGGATATCCTGTCCCCACAGAATTCAGAGAAGAGTGACACAGATCCAGGTGCAAAGCTGGAAAAAAATGACAGCAGAAATGAGACACAGGAAGGGATAGGCGTGCTGCAGCTGGGCTGCTGGTGTTTGGAAGTCCTATGGAAACGTACAGTATTCAGAAAATAACCGAGTAGAAAAAAAAAAGGTGTATCTGAGTATATGCCAGAGAAGTGGCACATGCCAAAACCAAAACATAACAATAGAGCTACTGAGAACACAACTGAAAAGACATTTTTTCCTGCCTACAGAAATAAACCATGCAGTGTGTACCAAGTAACTTCTTCAGCTCAGAAGAAAAGCTACAAACTGTCACGCTTGTTGACTGTTTATCTGTAAAGAGCTTTTTAGTGCTCGTCAGGTATTTCCCAAGCACAAACACAGTATGCCTTTGCGGATCCTCATTTTCTGTTTCGTACAAAAAATTGACTGAAGCCTCCTCTTCTATGCAGACTGTTCAGCTCTGCCAGTGTGAGCTGGCTGTGCCCCAAAGCAGCGCTCTTTGCAGCACAGCAGGTCCGGCACAACGTTTTCCTGAAGTACCTGTGTGATTTGAGCTTCTTCCCACAGGGACAGAGAAACTGAACTAATGTTTCTGTGATCTTCCATTTTGCTGGCTCTGTAAGGGTTCCCCACTTTGTGACAAAACTGGCCCTCAGCAATGCATCTTCCCCACTAGACAGCACCCCAACATGGTAATAAGGTGTAAAACTGAATCTGAAGAGAATCACTGAATCTTTATTAATGCATCCTGAATTTGAATACATTCAGATGTCCATACGAAAGGCTTGTGCAGATGAGCTACAGCACCTGATAACATCACATGTTGCTGTTAAGAAGAGCAGCACTGCGGTGCTTCAGGAACTGCACTGTGCACAGAGAACACAACTTAGCTCAAACAAAATGCTCTGAATCAACACTCTGTTGTTGCCATACCTGTATAATGAAGAAAATGAATAAAAACCTCTGTCTTGTGCTGCAAACTCTTGACTTACACAAGGCAGTAGGCAGAATAGGTGAAGTATAAAACATGGCATGTGCATTCTTTGTAATGTGTTTAGGCTGCAAATACTTAAGCCATAATTCCAAGGTTTCCTCTTTTATTCGAGGTGAAATTCTTCTCAGTAAATTTGTACAGGAAACCATAGCCCTGATAATGTAACTTCTGCACGTATAAAAATAGTACTTTGTGTCCTGAAAACAAAATACATAGGGAATCATCCACTGTCTGGAAAATCTATGCTTGCTTCACAAGAACACATTTCAGATTCCTTAAAGGTGTTTATATAATGTTAATTAGAGATCAAAGATAATTTGATTACGAGTGGGGGAGAATAAAAGAAAATGCTGATTATGTTATTTAAAGATGTACTAGTGTATGACCTTAAAGAACGAGTTTCAACACGTCTGGTGGAAAGAACACACCACTGTTAGGAACCATAAAAACAAAATATCAATTACAGCTTGACCTTGATTGAAACCTACTCTGTATGTTCAGTAAAAGTGTGCTTTCATTTTTCTGCAACACATACTGCTGATAAATGAATTTTAGATGGGCTAGAGTAAAAATCCAACTTACCTGAGTACAGATTTGTTATTAGTAGGAGAGAACCAGAAGTAATTCTGAAAAATGAGTGGAGGTGGGCAGGGAGTGGGTGGACTTGGGTGAAAATTAAGTTCTGCCATCACTTTAAATGCAACCATGATTTAATGCAAGCTAAGCAAACATAACAACAAAAAAATGAAGGAATGCAGAAGAAAACCTGCTGTACCTTAATTCAATTAAGAAAGCCAAGCACATATTTTACCTTAAATTGTATGCTTATTATAAATTGTGAACAATTTATATATTACAATACATGCATTACAATATCATACAGTGTAAAAGTTTGTTACACCTTTATTTGAAGAAACAGGATGAGAACAGCTGAAAAAAAGCTTTTAAACTGAAGCAGCCAATGCACTGTCATCTCTGGCGTCCATGTCCTTGTTGCTACCCGTGATACAACACTGAATTGCAGTTCTGCAAAAGATCGAGGTGCATTTGCTAAATTTGTAACTCGGAGAAAAAGTCATCAGCCCATACCTATGAAACTTCTTGTTCTTACAACCAGTTCAAACAGACAAAAATCCCCCCAGCAAACCAGGCATTCTTTCTAAATGGGCTCCTCCAAAGCCATGTCACTGCCTATAAATAACTGTTATCGTGCGAAATCTGAACCTTTTTGCCAGTAAGCGAGCGCTCGGGAGAACAATGTGTTATGTAAAATGAAGTCATATGAATCATTTCACAAAATTTGATTTTTAAGTGGGTACAGGTGCTTCAAAGCACAGAAGAGCTTCCTTCGCTATCACACTATATATAGGATTATTATTATTTTTTTTGACAGAAAAATAAAGGAATGAAAGGATGAAAAGAAGCAATCACAGAGAGAAACAAAGGGAGAATTCTTCCTAAAAATGGAACAAAATAGTTCTGTCCCACTGAGCATGATGCACATCACTGTGGTCCATACAACCTCTTGCATTATTCCATCTCCAACTCCCGGGCTGACGTGATTTGCCAATAACCTATTTTTTTTCTCAGAAATTATGTCATCCCAGCCCTCACCTGTACGCCTAGAAGCTGCATGCAAGCGTTCAGACGCAAATACAAACTCTTCCGTCAACTGCTTTTTATAGGGAATTAACTTCAAATGGAGCTGCCTCCCCTGCTTCTTTTCGAGGCGCCCAGGTCAGGGCTAACAGCCGCCTCTCAGCACCGCCCCGCCACTCCTCGTCCCGCCGCTCACTGGGCCCGGCCCCTCACGCCTCGCTCAGCACAGCCCGGCCCGGCACGTGCTCGAGGAACGCGGGCCCGCCTCCTTCTGCCGCCGGGGCGCGGGGAGCGCCGCGAGGCGGGGCGGGGCAAACCGGCACGGTCCCATGGCGCCCGCCTCGGCATCGCCGCCGGCTCCGTCCGCCGAAGGCGCGAAACGGGGCGCGCATGCGCCGAGGCGGTGCGCGCGGGGCCCGCTGGCGCCGCCGAGCCACCCTGCGCCGCTGCTGCTGTTGCCGCGCACGGGCGGGCGGGAGTGGGGCGCGCGGGGAGGGACGTGATGACGCGCTGCGTGTCGCCAGCCGTGCGACCCACGCAGCGTCCGCCGGGCGCGTGCCTCCTCCTGGGCCAGCGCGTTCGGGGCTGCTCCGGGCGGGGGCGGGCGGGGCGAAGGCTCAGTCCTCCTCCCTCCTTCTCCTCCTCCTCCTCCCTCTCCCTCTCCTCCTCCTCCTCCTCCTCCTCCTCGGGTCCCCTCGCCGAGGGCCCGGCCCCTTCCCTCCGCGGAGCGGGGCCGTGCGGCGGCGCCTCCTCCCGCTGCCGGCCGCGCCGGACAATAGGGGCGAGCGCGGCGCCCGTCTCCCCCGGCCTTGGTTCCATGTGCGGCGCCGGGCGCCGGGGCTGACAGCGGTTCCCGCCGAGGCTGAAGGAGCGGCCACCGGCCCCGGGCCGGGACTCGCCACCTCGGGCGCCGCAGCGCCGTTCCGCTCTTCCGTCCCCCTTCCTGCCCCCCCTTCGCTGCCGGCGGCTGCTCCTGCCGGGCTTTGGCGGCGGCGGACAAAGGCGCGGGGCCCGGCGCGGCCCGGCCCGGCCCCCCGGGGGGTGCGCGG